CCACTATACATGCTAGCTACGGCCCTGTATACAAAGTCCTACAAAGACAGACTGACTTCTAAATCTGTTACAAGTCTCTTATTGTCATTTTTGTTATCCTTTGGGACAGAATGCATACACGAGGCTACGGTGCATTAATTGTTTCATTTGCTACAGACAGAGGTCACGGTTATGCATTCAAATATATAACTACATTTGCAACGGACAGAGGTTGCGGTATGCATTGAAATATATACATAACTATATATATTTGTCGCACTTTTCTGTCTTACACCGCAAGACAGTTGCGCTTCGTGGGGACTGTATGCTATCAGAACAATACCATCGGAAATAGAACACACACGCGTACTTTAAAACATATTTATTTAAAACTATTCAATCGATAAAATATATAACAAACAATCCTTCTTGTTTTCTCTCGTGCTTTCCGTCTGACAATCAATTTGAAGTCTATTATTTATGAGATACGATACATTTCTTACGTCAATCAACTAAATCACCCATTGTTTGGTCTCCTACGGCGTTATTAATAGTATAATGTTAGAAATTATTCTACACACTCCCCCCTTTGAGCCTGTAAGGGACAAACATGACTTGTGTTCTCCAACGTGCATCCAAAGCTGCTGCTCTCCTAGGTCTATTACCCTTCTCTCCGTCTTTCTCATTCATTTCCGTCTTTTCTTTCTCATTAATTTTCGTCTTTCCTTTCTGGTTATCATATCCATCCACTTCATTTTCAACTTTATTATCCTTTCTTTCTTCCGTACTGCTTCCGTTCTCATTTAACTCTACAGGATACAATTTCTGAATCCCTCTTCTCCCTCTTACTTCTATGATGCTCTCTCAAATTCGTCAAGTATTCCTTTCTCCATCTCTCCCAAAAGTGAACTCGCAGTTTCGCTAGATGCCTAAACCTACGCTTAACCTTTGTCGCATCATTCTCGTCAATTTTGTAACTAGTCTCGTCTGAACTTAATTCACAGACATAATACACAACTGCACAATAGGCTTTCAAACTAGCATCACCAAACCCATGTAATGAACATTTGGGTTTTCCAATTAGATTTCCATACACACACCTTGGTATCATAATTTGACCTACAACTTCAAGATCATGAACCCAACCTAACCATTGCTTCAAATATTTTCCTTTTAATTCAGAATCCCAATCTACTTTGTCCAAACACAGTGCTTGAAACAACATCTTAATACTTACTACCATTGGGCTAAGAATTCCCAATGGGTCAAACAACCCAGCTAATATTCTAAGAGTATTGCGTTTGGTAACAGGTTGCGATTTTGCTTTCTCAACTAAACCCTGAAACAAAAACTGAAATTCATCAGTTGTACAATTCCAAGCTAACCAAAGGACTTTCTCTGATGTGTCATTTTTGCCTGTCATGCAAAGGGATGACTTAGCAAATATTTCTTCACATGCCAAGTTTCCTCTATCAGGCTTGATTTCTTCCTTTGATTGGATTTTCTCTAATACAAATTTACTATTACTGAGCCATTTCCTAAGCTTGAACCCCCCAGAAGCTAAATTGTTACTAGAAGCCTCATATAATGATAATGCATGCTCAGGGGTTTGTTCTCCAGTTACCAGATCATCAACATAAAAGCCGTCCTTCAACTTTCGAGTCAATTCAGGATTACCCTTCGAAAAGCGGTCAAGATGGTGTTGAAGTGTGGCATTCAGCAAAAATGGTGAACAGTTCACACCAAAAACAACTCTACAAAATCTATACTCTACTGGCTTCACCTCATCTTCATGTATGTTGCCCACCCAAAGTAATCTCAAACAATCTCTGTCACACGGATCAATTTCAATATTTAAAAAAGCCTTCTCTATATCTGCTACAAGCGCTATTCGCTTTTCTCTAAAACGCAATATAATGTGATACAACAACGGGGATAGAGGTGGCCCAACATGCAAGCAGTCATTTAAAGATACCCCCTTCTTAGTCTCTTTACTCGATGCATCATACACAACCCTGACCTTAGTGGTCTTTGCATCTTTACGAACCACAGCATGATGTGGTAGATAATGGATCTTATCAGCTCTCTCTAACTCTACAACTGGTTCTATAATACCTAGCTCTAACTGTTCTTTAATTACTCTATCATACTCTTGTAAAACTTCTGGCTCCTTCTTTAATCTTAAAAGCTGTCCCTTTAATCTCTGCACACTACAGCTATAATTAGTTGGCAATAAACTATGCCCTTCCTTCCAAGGTAAACTTACACTATATCGTTGGCCATTGAAATGTATTGAATCATTTAATAACTCGCTAGCTTCCTCTTCATGCTTTATACCTAACGTTTCATAATCCCATAATTTTTTAACACATGCTTCAAGGGACCTATTCTTTGATGTTACATGCCCAATAAGGTTTATGCTTACCTGTGCACACGATGTAGGACCATCATCATCTTCAGAGCTACTCTTCAGTGGACCTGACAACACCCATCCTAATTTGGTTTGTACCGCAACAGGTTCATCACTCTTGCCCCTAACCGTACGCCCTTCTTGAAATAACCACAAATAATCTGCGCCAATTAGTAACTCTATTTCTAACACATTCTTGGTCTTACAAACATCGGAAAACCATAACCCTTGCAAATGTGGGTAATCTTTCTTCCTTGTCTCTACATGCTCATTCCTAATCTGTGAAATGCTGTCTACTGCATAAACTTCAATGCTAACACTCTCTCCCCCCTGTACTGGGGCTACACTCAATTCAAACACTTCTCTCAACTTCCCTTCAACCTTCTCCTGTCCGAACGTTCTAATTTCTACCCATTCCTTCCTCTTTACTGGCACTCCTGCCTTCTGAGCTACCTTGCCAGTAACGAATGACCGTTGACTTCCTGAGTCAAACATAACCCGCACTCTCACATTCTCCTTTCCTCCCATCACCAAAGCCTGAGCTGTCTGCAATGCTACTCTATTTGCTGACCCAACGCACGAATGTGTGGAATGAACTACGTCAGCGGTTATAGACCCATTAGCATGGCTCTCACAAATAGAACTATAATGTCGTTTACTGCATGCACTACATTTACTCGTATTTAAACAATTACTACAAATATGTCCTCTTTTTAAACATACAAAACACCGTCGGTACTTACGAAGTATCTGTTTACGCTCACCAGCATTCTGAATTTTCTTACAATCTTGTGATAAATGTTCTTGTAAACAATATACGCATCTTGGCTTCCCTTCCCTGGTGGTATGATTCACAAGAGCAGCTGCCGATCCATCTACAAACTGTGATTTCCTTCCTTCTTGTTTAGACGTGTTCGTCGTAGATGACTCGTGTGCTTCACGCAATTCAATTTCATCTAAAAGTGCCTTTAAAATATCCTTCATCGTCCAATTTAGAAAGTCTGATCCACCTGCACTTGACCCACGAGTTATCGTCAAACAAAGGGATTCCGGCAGCTTGTCGAGTATTTCCGGAACAACAATCGTAGCATACGAACTTTCGTCCACTCCCAGGGTTTTCAGACCTCGGCAGTTTGTCTCACAGGCATGGTACAATTCCCGTAGTCGACGCACATCTCGCCCGTTGTATACTGGCTTTATGTTCATTAACGCTTGAATATGAGCTCTCTGTATCGCCGTTTTCTTCCCATATCGTGTCTTCAGGAGTTCTAATGCTTCTTTATAGTTCGTTGCTGTCAACGTGAACCCTGCGATAGTTGTCTGCGCGGGACCAACCAGTAGACCTTTCAAATACGCGAATTTATCTACCTCTGATAGAGCGTCATTCTGATTTACAGAACTATCAAAGGAGTCCCAAAATTCTTGCCACTCTTGAATTTTCCCATTAAATCTTTTCACCTCTAACTTTGGGAGCTTTGCGCGAACAGTCTGTTTTGGTGTAGCGTTCATACTCAGATTCGATGGTACTTTGTCCTTGCGGTAGTGACGGCAAGGCTTCGAACAATGCGTCATTCACGTCGAGAATTATTTTTTGTAATTCAGCTCGCGTATCATCTGTCTCCTGAATTTTCTTTTCCAGCTGTTGTTCTGCGTCTTCGGCTTCACTATTACTTAGTACCTCGACAATCTCGTTATCTAAAAGTTTCAAGGCTTCGAGTTTCTCGCTCAGCGTGTCTCTCAGCTGTTTCAGCACATTCTTGTCCGTCTGAGGCGTTTCACTCACATTCACTAAACATTCTTTTATCTTCGTCCCTATCTTCGTTGCTGAACCTCTGTGCGCTGCGCGTGTTCTTCTTTTCTTTGTCAGCTCGTCCAACGGCATTATCGTATCTATCTATCTCGATTCTTTCTTTCGAAATCTTTCCGGTTCGAAGGACCAAGTGTTGCACTTTTCTGTCTTACACCGCAAGACAGTTGCGCTTCGTGGGGACTGTATACTATCAGAACAATACCATCGGAAATAGAACACACACGCGTACTTTAAAACATATTTATTTAAAACGATTCAAACGATAAAATACATAACATGACAATCCTTCTGGTTTTCTCTCGTGCTTTCAGTCTGACAATCAATTCGAAGTCTATCATTTATGACATACGATACATATCTTACGTCAATCAACTAAATCACCCATTGTTTGGTCTCCTACGGCGTTATCAATAATATAGTATTACAAATTATTCTACACGGATATTGGTCGGTAATTTTCAAATTTATTAGCTTCGTTTGCCTTGAAAACTGGTGTAACTACAGCAATTTTCAATTTGTCAGGGATGATTCCGCTAAGAAATGATAAGTTGCATATATGTGTTAGAGGTTTGGAAATTTGTTTCGCACATGATACTATTGTTTTAATATTTATGTCATCATATCCAGGACTTTTATTTATATTCATAATTTTAAGCTCTTCTTCTATTTCCACTTCTGTAGTGGGTTCAAGAAACATACTATTTTGATTTTTATTAGATAAGTAATTATGATAAGATGCATCAGAATCAGTTCTAATCTTTTCCGCTAGTTTTGGCCCAACATTGACAAAGTACTCATTAAATTTGTTTGCAATTTCTAGTGGATCATGTATAGTATTTGATGAGTTGCTTTCGAAAAATTCCCTTGGTAACTCTCTATTTTTTCTTTTCTTATTGAGAAGTTCATTTAAAGTTTTCCAAACCATTTTGGCATTGCTTTTGTATTTAATAAATTTTTCTTCGTAGTATATTTTCTTTGATATTTTTATTATATGGTTCAATTTGTTTTTATATTTTTTGTACTTTGTTTCGTTTTTACCACTAGGATTTTTCAAGAATGTTTTATAGAATTTATTTTTTCTTTTTACTGATTTTAATAGGCCATTTGTCATCCATGGGCTTCTGTTTTTATCAATACGATTTTTGATTAGTTTTTGAGGAAAATGTTTTTCATAAGCAGTTAAATAAATTTCAAGAAAATTGTTGTAAGCATCATCAGGATTTGTATTTTCATTAAGTATTTCTTCCCATGATAGACATCTGATTTCATCAGTAAAATTTCTGATACTTTCTTCATTAATTGTCCTCGTATATCTAGTTTTGTCTGTTGACTTAATTTGTTTATAATTGTCCATATTGCACATATGAATTATTGGTAAATGGTCTGATATATCAGTTAAAATAATCCCATTAATACTATTATTAATTTTCTCAGTGTCATTTGTATAAATATTGTCAATGAGTGTTGCAGTGTGAGCAGTAATTCTTGTTGGTTTGGTTATTAGTGGGAAAAAAGAAGTAAATAGCTGTTCGATAAATCTATTTGAGAAATCACAAGATTCCGATTTAAGCAGGTCAACATTAAAATCTCCTGCGAGGTAGCATATCTTATTTTCTCTTTCAATTTTGTATAGGATTGCATTAATAGCATTTTCAAACATTTCAAATTTGCTGTTGGGTGGTCGATAGATCACCCCAATAATTAGGTTCTTACCACTTGGTCTGCAAATTTCAATAAACATTGTCTCAATTACATCTTCAATATTTTGGACTAGATCATCACGAATTTTAAATATTAATTGCTTGGAAATATACATACCTACTCCCCCACCTCTTTTATTTGCTCTATTTGACCCTATATATTTATAATCTTTAATATTAAAGCTATCATAATTACAATCCACTTTGCTAATATCATACAACGAATCTAGTTTCTCATTGTTTTGTGATAATGCTATTTTGCTATTTGCTTGAAATGGATCAAATTTCAATTGATTTAGTCTATCCATATCATTACTATTTAGGCAGGTATGCTGGGTAAGCGGCATAAATTCATCATCTGAAAGCGAGTGAAATGGTATGGAATCATTATCGCCAATGTTACTAGACATATTTGGCTATAACATGTTTATGGAATATATATCAAATAGGAACAGAATAGAAAAATCCGTTCCCATTTCGTGCGTATAAGTGAAATACGACTCCATTAATATAATGTTCTATATTTACATATGAAAAAGCTGACCTTCAATATAGAGTTTATCCCGTACAAGTTTCACTCTTTTACCTTCAGCCTTTGCCTTCTTGAAACTCGGGTATTAGCTTTCTTCTTGTTTCCATTATCTCCGCCGGGTATTGCTCTGAAATTCCAATATTTGTACCCTTTAATTTCTTAGCGTTAGCAAGAATATGTTCTTTGTCTTGATAATAATTAAACTTTGCCACTATCGGTCGCGGTTTGTCTGTTTCCCGTCTGGGTTTACCTAGCCTGTGTGATCTATCGATCTTCACTTTTGATGATGCGTCTTCAATATTAAGTTTTTCTTCCAGGAGTTTATGTATAATAGTTGTAGTGTTCTCTTCAGGTCTTTCTTCAATATTATGAAATATTAAGTTACCGCGCATTGAGCGCGCTTTGAGATCAATGATGCTATTGTGTAGCATGGCATTCTCCTTTTCTAAGCTTTCTACTCTTTTGTTGATTTTTTCTCCCATTAATTTCTGCTCTTTATTATCTTTTTTCAAGTCTACTACCTCTGCGTGAGCGTATTCCAGTGAAGCTTTTAGCGATTGCAAATCGTCGTCCAATGATTTGACGTTCTTTTCAATCGTGTCGAGCTTTTCTAACTTTGACATCATGGTCTTCATCATGTCGTAAATATCGTTTAAATTTACTTGTTTTGTTTCGTCTTCTCCGTCTGTATCTTTCGTAGTGCTATTAGGTTTCAGGATTTTTGGTTTAGCTGGCTTATTGGGCGTACTATTCATCGAATTATTAATATTTTGCGCACTGCGCTTCAAACCATGTTGCTTCGACATCTTGACACTTGATATGCAATCTTGATATGCATTCTGTTACGTTGTTTGTGTGATGTTACTCTGAGTGTATATCCACACCGGGCAGGCTTGAAAAATATGCCTGGCCACGGCGGGATTCGAACCTACGACCTTTGGAATACTAGCCCAATGCTCTTCCAACTGAGCTACGCGGTCAGGTCGGTTCGAGTATGCTAGTATTGGGCTAGTATTCCAAAGGTCGTAGATTCGAATCCCGTGGCCAGGCATATTTTTCAAGCCTGCCCGGTGTGGATATACACTCAGAGTAATATCACACAAACATCTTATTCACCTGAGTACATTACACCAACACAGCAGATTTCATGATTATCAGATTACACTGACATCGAAGGAACTAGACTCAGTTCCGAAATATCGCATACTCGAACCGACCTGACCGCGTAGCTCAGTTGGAAGAGCATTGGGCTAGTACTCCAAAGGTCGTAGGTTCGAATCCCGCCGTGGCCAGGCATATTTTTCAAGCCTGCCCGGTGTGGATATACACTCAGAGTAAGATCACACAAACATCTTATTCACCTGAGTACATTACACCAACACAGCAGATTTCATTCTGTTACGTCTCGATTCATTTGAGAAAGCATATAAACAACTCGAGCTCGTGTCTCACCGGGATATCCAAACACTCGAAAACAATGTATGAAAACACTTGCGCTTCGCGCTCGTGTTTTCATACATTGTTTTCTCGTGTTTGGATATCCCGGTGAAACACTCGCTCTCGTTCATATATTACTTGCCAAATACTTTGAATTACGTTTCCCACATGAGAACCGTAATGTGAGATATAATATTATATTTTTATATACATAGTTGGCCACAGTAGTTGGGCCAAAGTATATGTAAGTAATAATAAAATATAGCAGCGTAGTATAAGCATCCTACACCAAATGACACCCTTCGACCGTCATACACCATCTGACAACTATCTGACAACCATCTGACACACTTCGACCATCATACACCATCTGCACCATCTGACAACCCTTCCCTGTATAACCACCTTACACCATCATACACCATCTGCAACCATCTGACACATTTCGACCATCATACACCATCATACACCATCTGACACATTTCGACCATCATACACCATCTGTACCATCTTCACCATCTGACAACCCTTCCCTGTATAACCACCTTACACAATCATACACCATCTGACAACCATCTGACACATTTCGACCATCATACACCATCTGCACCATCTTCACCATCTTCACCATCTGACAACCCGTCCCTGTATAACCACCCTACACCATCATACACCATCTGACAACCATCTGACACACTTTGACCATTATACACCATCATACACCATCTGACAACCATCTGACACATTTCGACCATCATACACCATCTGTACCATCTTCACCATCTGACAACCCGTCCCTGTATAACCACCCTACACCATCATACACCATCTGACACATTTCGACCATCATACACCTTCATACACCATCTGAAACATCAGACATCAGATGCCTGTATTGGATATTACTCGTTTTTGCCGTTATGCCAATGGATTGCTTGTTGTGAAGTGTTGGAATAGCAACATTACGAATAGTAACCTTTACTTGAGTTTCATTGATTTCAAACAGACTTGATACGTTATTTGTTCCTCAAGAATATTATCTTTTGGTTGATGTTGTTCTTGCACTGAAGAAAACAGCGCTGAGAGGGCGAAACAGAAGACGGTAATTGCCGTTTGAAACGAAACGATCGGATCTGCACTCTGAATGCTCTCTTCTGACAACCCGTCCCTGTATAACCACCCTACACCATCATACACCATCTGACACATTTCGACCATCA